GTACAACAATAATAATGATAATGATGAAGATAAATCCCACCAGTGAGTACCATCAACACTCTGGGCAGAGTAAGCAGATGTATAGATCATCCATTCAACCCATTCAACAGCCCAGGTATGTCTAAAATGCCTTTCAATTGACAACAGCGACTCTAGTTCCAGTTGCCCAACTCTGTTTTCTCCTTTCCAAACTACTTTCTAAAACTTTTTTTCCAAATTACTTTTTAAAACTTTAAAAAACATTTGTGTGTGTGTGTGTGTGTGTGTGTGTGTCTCGGGGATCAAACTCAGATCATTAGGCTTGGTGGCAAGCACCCTCTAAGCCATGCTGCTGGCCCATCCAATCTACTTTTCTGTTTGGGTTTTCTTTTTTCTGTTTTTTTTTTTTTTTTTTTTTTTTTTGTTTTTTATTTTTTAAAAATTTTTTTTTTTTTGAGACAGGGTCTGACTATGTAGCCCTGACAACTCAGTACATAGACCAAGCTAGCCTTGAACTCACAGACATCAATCCGCCTCTGTATGTCTTATACTGGAATTAAGAGAGTGAGACACTACATCTGGCCCCTTCCAACCTACTTTTAACTTCTTCATGACAAAATTAAAATAGATCACTATACAAAGAAATTCAGTTTTTTTAAAAAAATGCTGGCTGGCTGTGGTGGCGCACGCCTTTGATCCTAGAACACGGGAGGCAGAGGCAAGCAGATCTCTGTGAGATCAAGGCCAACCTGGTCTACATAGTGAGTTCCAGGCCAGCTAAGGCTCCAGGGAGACTCTGTTAAAACAAAAATTACTGCTCAGAGGGTCAACAAAATATAAAAAATAAGGTGGTGTCTCTGGTTGATCCTTTGCGATCCTGGAAGATGGCAAAGGTACCATGTGATCATTATTATCATTATTATTCAAGCTGTTTTGTTTTCTTGGTGCAGTGTCTGTGTGTATGTACATGTGAGGGAACACAGGTGTGTACTTGTATGCACATCTGTGTGCTGACATGTCTGTGGAGGCCAGAAGACAACCTCAGATGCCTCTTCAGGTGCTGCCTACATTTTTTTTTTTTTTTTTTTTTGAGAAAGGGTCTTTTATTGGCCAGAAGCTTGCAAAGTATATTAGGTAGATTGGCCAGGTTTCCCCAGGGATCTGCCTGCCCAGTATTGTGATTATGAGTGTGGGCCATCAGAATTTTCTTTCTTTTTCTTTTTTTTTTTTTTTGGTCTTTTAGAGACAGGGTCTCCTGGTAGCCCCAGCTGGCCTGGAACTCACTATGTAGACCAGGCTGGCCTTGAATTCACAGAGATCTGCCTGCCTCTACCTCCTGAGTGCTGGGATTAAAGGCGTGCACCACCACGCGGGGCTTAGACTTTTCTTTCTTAACATGGGTTCTGGGGATGGAGCTCAGGTCTTTGTGCTTATGAGGCAAACATTTGAGTCCACCTCAACCTGTTTTTTATGGTGACAGATGTGGATTCACAAAATGCGTGTAAATCCGTTCAACTAACTACCAGGCAATTTCTGATTTAAGGAAATGACAAACTTTTTAAAACCCCCATAAAATGTTGAAACCTTTGATAATCTTTAGTTTGGATGGATCTTTTTTTAATTATTCAAAACTTTCTGCAACTAAGCCTTTTAAAGCATAACTTAAAATGTAAAGTGTCCTCTGGGTGCCCTGAGTCCTATATTAGTGTTTGACATCAAGATGTCATAGGTGTTAAACTGTTCTCTTGCAAAGAAAGAACCAGGAGAGAATAACTTAGCTGGAGAGGGAGAAAAAAGAAAGTGTGTTAGGGTAGAGATAAGTCACAGAATATCAGTGAACAAAGCCAAGATCAGTAGAGGGGAGGGGGCCAAAGCACAGAAAAGTAATCAACCACAGCTAACCCCCTTACTATGCCTTTACAGAAACCACAAAACTCCTGTCACAAGGCCTTGATAACGATGTATATAGAAAGTGGTCTGTAGGGCCATTGACCACCTTCCCAAGAGACTGTGTGTCCTTGAAAAGAACTCACAGGAGTTCTAACTCACTGGTCTCCTTTCACTGGGGAGATTCATAATGAAGATTGTTCAAGCCCAGGCAATAGTAAAATTTATGCCCCCAAAATTCTCCCTTGTAAATATGTCTGTATATCCAATGATCTCAGAAATTCTATGAACCTGATTAGTTTGAGGAATGTAAGTTCCCTCTGAACCTAAGATCCCAGGCACATCACAGGCCATGAGATGCATTTGCTAGACTGCCTGGGTTCAGATCTGCATTTCCTGCTCCCACAGTTGCATTGCTCAAATCTCAAGTTCCTGGCACCTCAGCACTGAACATTGGAAGGAATATGCCAGTCTGCCAGTCTCAAGTGATTACAGCATGCACTCTACTGCAAGTGGAAATACAATAAACCTCCCATATCCAGGGTCTAGGGAGTTGTGTGCCATGGGATACAACATGGCTAGTCCATGGCCTGGCTCCAAAGAGAATCAAACATAGAAGCAGGTAGTCTCTTATCCAAGCTCACCGTCTCCTGTTTTTTTTTTTTTTCTTTTTTTTCTTTTTCTTTTTCTTTTTTCCTCCCCCTTGGGCATTGCACTGGCTTGGAACTGAGATATGCCAGAAAAAGCTCATGTTTTGAAGGCTTAGTCCCTAAGGCAGCAGTTTTCAGAGGAGGGGGTCTTTGAGAGGAGATTTGATTATGAAGGCTGGAAACTTCAGGAAGTGGGACCTCGTTGGAGGCATTGGGTCATTGAAGGCATGCCCTTGAAGGGTATGTTTTGTACCTGACCTTTCCTCTCCTGTGCTTTGCTGCCCAGTGACCTTGAAACAAGCAGTTTTGCTCCACCATGCATTTCTGGCCATGGTGTTCTGCCTCTCTACAGACCCAGAAGCAATGGAACTAGGAAACCATGGACAGGATCCCCGAAAGGGCAAGCCAACATAAATCTTGACTCCTTCACATGGATACTTTCAGGGAAATGCAAATCAAAACTGCACTGAGAGTCCATCTCACCCTAGTCAGAGTGGCTATCATCAAGAAAACGAACAACAACAAATATTGGCAAAGGGAACCCTCATATGTGGCTGGAGGGAGTATAAACTGGAGCAGCTGCTGTGGAAGTCAGTATAGAGAGTCTTCAAAAAACTGAAAACAGAACTATGGCATGACCCAGCTGTACCACTCCTGGGCGTATACCCAAAGGAATCTAAGTCAGCAGACCACAGAGATATTTGCACATCTGTTTACTGATGTGTAATTTACAATCGCCACAATAAGGAATCAGCCTACGTGTCCATTAGCAGATGAATGGCTAAAGAAAATTTGTCATATACCATAATGGAGTTTTATTTGACTTTGAAGAATAAAATTATGTCATTTGTAGGAAAATGGATGGAACCGAAGATCATAATGCCAAGTGTTAAGCCAGACTCTGAAAGATGAGTATTGCATGTTTTCTCTCATGGGGGATGTATATATAATACATATGATATATATCATATATATATCATATATACATATGTAAGGCATGAAAGTATAAGAGGTTCTATATTCTTGGGAAGGTAGAGGGTAGAACAAGAGAACGGGGTAACGGGGTGAATGAGTGAAGTGTATGATGTATCTGTGTGAAGATGTCATAACGAAACTCCTTACTTTGTACAACCATTTCTTATTTTTTTATTCATTTCTTTTTATATTTTATTGTTTTTATTTTATGTGTACGAGTTTATTGCCTGCATGTATGTGAGTGCACCCATGTCGTGCAATGCCGTGGAGGTCAGAAGAGGACTTCGGATTCCCCTGGAACTGGAGCTAAGGACTGTTCGCAGCCGCCATGTGGGTGCTGGGAATCGAACCTGGGTCCTCTGCAAGAACAGTCAGTGCTCTTAACCGCTGAACCATCTCTCTAGCCCCCCATTTTAAAAAATTTTTTATGTGTAAGAGTGTTTTGAAAGCATGTACGAAAGTGCACTTATTTGTGCAATGCCTGTGGAGGCCAGAAGATGTTGTTAGAGCCCTTGGAACTGGAGTCATGGACGTTGTTTGCTGCCATGAGGGTGCTTGGAACTAAACTTAGGTCCTATGCAAGTGCAGCCAGTGCTCTTACCTGCTGAGCCATCTCTTCAGTCCCTGTATACTCATTTTTATATTTTATTTTTATGTATTTTATTTTACATGTATGAGTGTATTGCCTGCATGTGTGTAAGTGCACCCGTGTCACGTAGTGCCCTGGGAGGTCAGAAGAGGGTATTGGATTCCCTAGAACTGGAGTTAAGACAGTTGTTAGCTGCCGTGTGGATGCTGGGAATCGAACACAGATGCTCTGAAGAGAAGTCAGCGCTCTTAGCTGCTGAGCCATCTCTCCAGCCCCAAACACTCAGTTTTTAAAAGTATCTATTTTGTCACAACAGAAAGCTGACCAACATACACACCTTGACATTAGTTTTTTCTTTGCCTCCAATGAAGCTTACACTCAAAAGCTTATCTCTCAGTCATATTCTAATATAAAAAATTTGAAATAAGCTCCCATGGACTCCTATTCAAAATACTACTTGGTAGCAAGTGCAGTAGAAACCATTGGTCAGTTTTGGAGACTTTAACTCCAAGGGACACACGACCAATGAAACTAATTCACTGTGATGGGTGGAATCATGGATGGAATCATCCAACTCAGATGATCAGTAACTTAGAAGGAAAGTAACATGTGGATGAACTTGAAAGTCAAGGCAGTTCCTTTGCTAATAAGAAATCATTCAAAATCAAGTAGGATGATGGGCTATGGACTAAAAGTCAGACAGTACTGTGTTGTAGACTGGCTTAGAGAGAAAAGAGGACTTAGATGGGTGTGGGGATAAGATGTGAGGGGGGTAAAAAGGAAGAGACAGCAGGAAGTTCTAATTTGACAGCAGTTACTGAGATTTGTTGGGCAAAACCTTAAAACCATGTGTGAACTCTGTTGCCACATGCAGAAGGGAATGTGTTCGATCACCACACTTATTTGATACAGTATTTAAATTAATTTCACCAGTTTCCTTTTATTTCTTTTCATGTGGCTCCTATGAACAGACTGTAATCAACCAGAACGAGCTTAATAATCCTTCTGCCCAAACCCCCATACATACTAAAAGAGCCCTCTCCACAGAAATGACCTTGTTTCCTACATAGGCGGACTGACAGCTGAGAGCTGGCCACCTAAGACTCTAGTTTCCTTTCCCCCGTCATGACCAGCCCTGTATGTGGGCCTTCCCGAGATCGAGAAACAGTTGGCAGGACCAGGGGATGTGCTCCAGTGAGAAAGGGTCCTCTGCCCACACAAGGCAGAAATCGTTTCAGATGTCACCTCTTGCAAGGTTTTGAAACACATGAATCAGTGCTTTGTTTTTTATTGCTTTGCTGATGTCACTGTTCACCAGCCAGTAAAAATAGGAGTCCAGGTCCAATCTATTAATCCTGTAGAGAGTCAAAGTGTCATCCTCTAGTTTCTGTTCAATAAACTGATAATGATCATGGATTCTCGGGTCAGGGTGGGAAGAGATAAGGGGCCATAACACATGTTCAATGAATGGGTTTCCCTTCCAGCTCTCTGGGTCTTTACTTCTCTGGCTTTGCTCCTTGGGTCCTGACATCTCCCACCCGCTGAATCTAGACTCTTCCAAAACTGCAGAGTTGGTCCCGTCTTTCTTTCATCACAAGCCTTTTCATGAAGACTCCAAGTCTTGTTCAGATTGAATAACCTTTTTGTTTATCTTGGCCCTTTCTGAAAAGAGTGAGGGCTTGGCCTTTAAATCTTGGCTGCTCTCTTGAGAACCGCCCCTTAGAGTCTGGTGGCAGACCTGAGTCCATGCCATCTTCTAAGGAACACAGAGGGAGAAAAGGGGGTTTTACCTTCCCTAGTTTGAACACTGCGGGTAGGGAATGCTGGTCATGGTGCAGGTCTGGAATCCCGGTCCTCAGGAGGCTGAAGCAGTAGGATTTCTGGGAGTTTGAGGCCAGATTGGACAACATCACAAGACCCTGTCTCAATGAGCCATAGGGAGAGAGAGGGAGGAAGACAGACGAGAGATAGAGAGAGAGAGAGAGAGAGAGAGAGAGAGAGAGAGAGAGAAACCCTTAGGGTTGTGCTCCTCCCACCTGACTTTTTTGAGTTCTGTTGCTTCTAAATCACTACATTACCCTCTTCCTGCTCAGAGAAAATCAGATTTTAAAAGCCTATATATATGTAGGAAGCTTTGTGTACAAATATCTAAAATAGGCCTTCGAAATGGTTCACATGCCAAGCAGTACAGGGAATCCCTGGAAGGTGTCCCAGTACAGACTAGCTCAGTTCAAACCCAGAGGGAGACCTTTTGATATTTTTTAAGCTCCAGATGATGATAATATGCATTCTATGTCTTGAATTTCCAAACTAAAGAAACCCCAATCTGACCAGCACATTGACTCCAGTCACTTTTCTTCAGTTTTTGAAACAGTCTCACTATGTAGCCCTGGTTGGCCTGGAACCCTCTATGTAGACCAGACTGGCCTTGAACCCATAGAGCTATGCCTCCCCCTGCCTCCCTAGTGCTGGGACTAAAGATGTGTACCACCATGCCCACCCAGCTCTACTTACTTTTCTTGAACTGTGAAAGGATTATTATTTTGAGTTCTATTAGCAGAACTGATTTATTTTACTGTGAACAATTTGAGATTATTCAAATCATTTGGAGAAAGGAAAGGTGGAGTTTGGTAACAACTGAGATGCTATTGAAAACCAGCTCTGAAAGATGAGGCTAAGAGACTTGACTTTGCAGCTGGTGTCTCCACTTCCTGAGGGACTCGTGATCTAACCACCTTGAAATGTCTTTATCTCTGTAGAGAAAGCTCTCGTCTAGGCCTCCTTAAAATCCCTCTATATTTCTAATTCAATTCCGGGAAAGAAGTTGCAAACAAACAAACAGAAAAATTAAGATTGTATCTTGCCCCCACTTTATTTTTAAGTTTTTGGTTTCTGGAGATAGCATCTCACATAGCCTAGGCTGGTCCTTGAACAAGCTTTGAACTGAGGATGACCTTGAACTCCTTCCTGATCTGCCTGCCCCTCCCAGTGCTGGGGTTACCGGCATATACCATCGTGTCCAGCCTGCTCCTACTTTAAAAGGATGGGAATTTAGCTATGGGAAAACAGAGGCAAAAATATTCAAGTGTTCAAATGGCACTAGATTTTTATTTATAATATTTAATCCTGATTTTAATGACATTACTTTAAAAGAGGAATTAAGTTTAATTATTTTCCTTTGAGTGGTTAGGGTTCCCCATGTCTCCTGCCTTGTGTCAAGGCAAAACAAACATCTGGGGTGGGTCTATGGGTCCACTTAGGCAGCTGGGTAGATAGGCAAAACCAAGCGATACAGTTGAGTTTTCACCTAGAGTCTGCTAATCCACCCGTCCCTTTTCTCATTTACAAAATAGGCTTGAGTCATAGTTCTAGTCTGTGAACAGAACTGCTGCAATTTTTTAAAAAATTAACATCAGTGTGCAAATAGGGGGAATAGAGATAGGCTTGTTTGTGACCATACAGATAAGTCAGAAGGATATGATGCAAACTAAACAAAGCCAAGCACCGAAAGGCAAAGTGCCATATAGTCTCACATCTAAGTGGAATCTTAGAAAAATGAACTTAATAGAGGTAGAGGGTCTAATGGTGGTTGTGAGAAAGGAGTAGGGAGATGCTTATCAAAGGGATGGAAGCTCAGACAGGCAGAGGGGTAGGTTTGAGAGCTACTGTATAGCATGGTGCCTGTGGTCAATGGATATTTTACAGTCACTAAGACAGCAAGTTTCAAGTGTCTCCCATAAGAAATGATAGATAAGCAAGGTTATGAATGTGTTGTTAAACAGTTTGACAATTACTCAACATTATTTACATATATCAAAACACCTTTGTACTCATCTATCTATATATAGACATAATGCTCTGCAAATAAAAAAATCAATAACTTAAAAGATCAACAAATAAATATTACACCCTAAAAAGTTAACATTTGAGGGGTTGGGAGATGCTCAGCGGTTAAAAACACTGGCTGCTGGTGCACTGATACACTTACATACATGTAGGCAATATACTCATATATATAAAATAAGATAAATAAATAAATTGACATTTGAAACTATAAAGAGGTTTGTAAGGGCCAGGCACAGTGGCATGCCTTTAATCCCAGCATTCTGGATGCAGAGGCAAGTGTATTCCTACGAGTTCAAGGCCAGCTTGGTCCATATAGCAAGTTCTGGGCCAGCTGGGGCTATAGAGAACCCCTGCCTCAAAAAAAGTTTGTAATGTTAATGTTTTTAACCATGTTTTAAGGAGTTTATTCATCATCAACCATGCCATGCTTATTAATAAAAACAAAAAGAGAAGAGTCACAGTGACTCATACCTGCAATCTCAGGAGGCCAAGGCCAAGACAGGAGTTCAGGAGTTCAAGACCAGCCTGGGATGAACATAGACCAAGTTTCTTGGAAAATGACAGCAGAGAGAGGGTATGGGAGGGAGGAAGAGAGAAGAGAGAAAGAAAACATACATACCGGGAATCCTATTGAGTGTCACCCAGAAATGCTCATCGGGACTGTAGGTGTCCTTGGACCAGGAGAGCAAGTCCAGAGCACGCTGGTCTTTAAGGACAAAGTTGGCAAACTCTCGAGTGAGAGCTACATATGCAGTACCAAAGTAAATAGTCATATCATGAGGAGGGGGGGCCTTTAGTTTTGCAGTTTGATGCACATAGGAATTTTTGTGGTTTAACAACTCCTGGTGGACATACTTGGTCCGTCCAATCGCATGAGCTGGAGGTAGCACCCCTGGGGTGAGATTCTTCCCTATAAACCCTTTCAGATGCTGAACTATCTCCTTGTTGGTTTTCAGGGGGAAGTCTTGCCCACAGGTATTGATGGCGTACTTCCAGGGGACCTTGGAGGCCACCAGATCTTTCATGCAGTTCAGGTCAGCCTGGAGCCGGGAGAAGCCACCGTAGACCACTGACTCCATCTTAGAAGCCAGAAAGGCATTGGAGAAGCAGCTCAGTAACTGTTGCACGGCATCTTTGAAGGTGTTTGGTGCCTTTTCATCCACATGCACACAGTAGACATTCTGAGGCATGTAAATCGCCCTGAAGAGCCTCTCAAAGGTGTCAAAATCTTTGTGGATAGTCATTGTGAATGCCAAAGGGAAGCTGGCTTCCTCTTCAGAGAGGGTTTCTGTTATATAATGACTTTGAATCCTGTACGTGTAACAGGCAGCATTATCCAGGGTGGTTTTCAGTATACTTTCTGTTACGTCAAAATCTTCCCCATTAAGCGTCTGAAGACAGACTTCAGCTAAGGTCGAAGCATTAAGGGCTACCTTCAGGAAATGATTGCTCTCCCATAGCTTGCTGTTATAAATAAATACCAACATCAGGGTAGCAATAAGAGACAGGCTAAAAAGACAGTATTTGCCAGAGACCATCGTTATGAAACCAGGAAAGGAGCAAATGTCTTTCGAGTTGTGACCAGAGTGTAGATTCCTTTAACTTACATTTTCTCAAGGCTCCAGCATCTTCCTCCTGTGTCTGTGGCTCTCAGCAGCAGCCATCAGGTCTTCATCTCTATCGACCTCTTTCCTCCTTCTTTATAGCTTGGTTATGTTTTCACTCTCCCTTGACACATTTCCGAAGCAGCTTCACGCTCAGTCTCCCACTAAGTCATAGCCAGTTACTACACAAAAACACACCATCCCAGGAAGGTTCAGGGGTCGGTGAGCCTACTTGTCCCCACTGAGAAATCACTGGCAGTGACCTTCAGACAAGTCTCTGCCCTGGGACTTTGAACCTAGCCTTATTGCCTCTTCTCCCAGCCCAAGGCTGGCGACTGTCCCTGCTTCCCCTGTTCCTGTTAATCATTGCATTTAAATGACTGGGTTTGTTTGCTTAAACACTGCTGCCAAGCTAAAAGCTTCAGTTCTGAGCATGTGAACACTGCCTGCAGAGACACAGTCAATAAAAAATGTGGTGCTTTACAATAAATTGCTTAACCCTGTCTTTTTCCACTCGTACTTCCTACCTGTCTTCCATTGGCTAGGCATGCTTTGAAGCAAGGCATATGACTGTTGAGCCAAATTCTTTCCAGGGCTTAATATTCCCTGCTGCTAGGGAAGGTCCTTAAAAAGGCATATTAACTAGTACACTAACCTCACCGTCTACTCGATACATAAAGTGACTGGGGCATTCTGATGAATAGAGGCTAACTTGTCTAAAAACAAACAGACAAGAATCAGTAGCTTGCCATCACCCCCAAATTGCATGGAGGCTAAAGTTACTGAGTGTCAAGATCATTTTGTCCTCGCCTAGATAGATACAGGCAGAGGTGCCCTGGGGCCTGGAGAAGCAGGAGAGAGGAACGAACTGTTTTGAATTTTACATACCTAAGGAGAGACTCTTGGGTTCAGAAATGTGATTTATTTGTTTACTTATTTATTCTTAGACAGGGTCTTAGAATGTTGCCTAGGCTGAACTTGAATGCCTGACCTCATCAGATTTTCCTACCTTAGCTTCCCCAGTAGCTGGGACTATAGGTCTGTACCACTATATCCAGTTCAGATTTAGAAGCACTTTAAAAGCCATGTCCTCACAGTAATAAAAACAGCATGGTATGGCATAAAAACAGACCCAGATCAGGGAACCAGAAGACCCAGTTACAAGGCCATACAACTACAGACACCCGATTTTTGACAAAGATGCCAAAAATGCATATCAGAGAAAAGACAGTATCTGGCTCTCTATATATGAAACTAGATCCTTATTTCTCACCCAGTACAAAAAAATCAACTCTAAATGGATCAAGAACCTCAACTTAAGACATGAAACTCTGAAACTGATAGAGGAAAAAGTGGGAATAAACTTCAAGATACCAGCATCAGTAAGGCCTTTCTGAATAGGACTCGTATCATTCAGGAAATAAGACCAATAATGAAGAAGTAGGATTTCATAAAATTAAAAAAGCTTTTGTACAGCAAAGGAAAACGTCAGTCACATAAAGAACACCCTACAGAATAGGAGAAAATCTTTGCCAGCTATAAATCTCACAGATGATTAGTATCTAGATATATAAAGAACTCAATAAAATAAATGTAAAGAAAATAAACAACCCAATTTAAAATGGAACTGAACAGAGTTCTCAAAAAGAGAAATACAAATGTTTGATTTGCATTTTTAAGTGTTCATCTACTCTGAGATTTTATCTTTCCCCAGTCAGCATGGCTGTCATCAAGTAAACAAATGACAGCAAATACTGTGGAGAAAATGAGGGTGTTAGGGAAGGAGGCACTTACTCACTGTTAGTGGGGATGTGAATTGGTGTAACCACTATGGAAGTAGGTGTGGAGGTTTCTCCAAAAGCTAAAAATAGAACTATCCTAAGATCCAGCTGTGCCACTCCTGGGCATATATCCAGAAGATCATGTCCTCTTACAGAGAAACCTGCACATCCATGTTCATTGCCACTCTGCTCACAACAGCTAGGAAATGGAATCAGCCTGGATATCCATCAACTGATGAATGAATAATGAAAATGTGGTTCATACAACGGAATTTGCAGCTGTAAAGAATAATGAAAATTTCAGGAAAATGCATGGAATTGGAAAATGTTATATGAAGTGTGTTAGCCAGGCCCAGGAAGACAAATGTCATGTGTTTTCGCTCATATGTGGATTCTAGCCTTGAAATTTTAGATTTTTATGTTTAATTTGGAGTATCTGTAGAACCCAGCAAACTAGAAAAGACCCATGAGCAGGAGAGGGGAAGAGGACAAGGGGAGAGGGGACCGTGGTGTGAATGTAAGGGGCAAATATTGGGGGTTAAAAGTTTAAGCAGGGGAGCTAGAGAGATGGCTCAGCAGTTAAGAGCACTGGCTGTTCTTGCAGAGGACCTGGGTTTGGTTCCCAGCATCCACATGGTAGCTAACAACCATCTATAACTCCAGTTCTAGGGGATCCAACGTTCTCTTCTGACCTTCATGGGCTTTGCACGACACAGGTGCACTTCATATACATGCAGGTGATACACTCATACACATAAAATAAAAATAATAAATAAAATATTTTTAAAATTAAAATATAAAAAAGTTTAAGCAGGGATAGAGACAGGGATAAGGAAAGAGAAGGGGGTGAGGATGGGCTGATTAAAACAAAAGATGGTTGAAAAACCCTGTGGAAACCCACTACTTTGTAAGCTAGTTGAAAATGTAATTTTAAATTTTTTTTTTTTGTCTTTTTGAAGCAGGATCTCCCTGTAGCCCCAGCTGTCCTGGAACTCACTATGTAGACCAGGCTGGCCTTGAACTCACAGAGATCCGCCTGCCTCTGCCTCCTAAGTGCTGGGACTACAGGCATGTGCCACCATGCCTGGCTAAATTTATTTATTCATTTATTTTTGAAATTGAATGTCCATTTTGGACTTTTTTCATACAAAGCATTTTTTAATTTAATAACCACATGATTAGAAGATGCATTTCATTACAGCTTTAATATATTCAATAACAATTTATAGAGCAAGGATACATCTCTTTCAAAAGTGGCTGTAAAGTTTTAAGTTCACAGTTGAATTAATACAGTTATACAATATTGAACTCAGTATAGACCCTCTAAGACATAAAATTGAATGAATTTTTAACCTTTAAAAAAGATCTCCATTTCATTTTAAAATATGCTGTTTCCTACAGAAAGACTCATTTTTAATGCTACTAACGCTTAGACGCTTGCACATGTGTCTCTAATCTCTATGTATCTGATCATTACTAGTCACAGTTGGTTATACTCAGATCCTTGGCAGCTGAGTATGGATATAAAGTCATCAGGTAGATTTTACATGAAGTAAATTTTTATGCTTCCTCCTCAAATATAAGTAATTTTTTTAAACTTTTACAAAAGCTTTATTGAGAATTTCATACATGCATGTAAGGTGTTTTGATCAAATCCATGCCCACTTCCTCCCTTCCGACATCTCCCATATCTCCCCATCATTTCTTTTCTTTTCTTTTTTTTTCTTCTTTATTTTATGGGGCTTTGGGCACTCTTAACATTCCCCCCTCTGAAGAGGTAACCCTAAAGTCTTTAAAGATTAGATACAAGCTCCCAAATACTTTTGACATTTTTGGCCTTTGGAACAGAGTATGTTGCTAACAGTCCCAAGGACATTTTGAATAAGTCATTTTTTTATTTGTTGATTTTTGTGTGTGTGTATATCATACAGAACATTCCAAATGATCTTATTCATCTATATACCCACTTCCCAAATGGCACCATCCTATGCCCCCCACCCCTGGCACCGATATACTCTGTCATCCCTGTTACTGTTTACTGTGTTGTTGGCACCCCCAGTCATTCCCCAGTGCTTGTCCATCTGCTGAATCTAGTCATCCTATCTAGAGATCCTTGTTTTGGGAAGATCAGCTGTTCCCCATCTAGCAGCAATCAGTTGTCAATATTCCTTTAGATAAAATTGGGGTCTGCTGTTCATTTTCCCAGTTCTATGCTGGGTTACTGTTTGGGAGTCTTTTGGGCTACCCTGGCCAACAACTCAAAGGAAGGTATCTCCTGTCTGGCATTGTTTCTTGTTATGTAGCCTTTATCTACACTTATGGACTCTTAAAAAATTATATTGACCCCTTTAATCTTTGGTTATACTTTCCTTTTGGGTGTTTAAGACCCTACAATTGGCCCAAATAAACCAATTTATTTTTACTCTTAAGGTTGGATCTGTTCCTCAGGGGTCACATGGGCTTGGGAGGAGCCCCTGGCTCCTTTCTTTTACCACTTCCATCTATGTGAAGATAAGTCAAAGGTCCTACTTGACCACGGCTGGCTTCGCTTGGAAGCATGGAGGAAATATTTCCTATGTGTTGACCCTCCTCTTTGTAGACTGATTGGGTCTCCTAGGCCTCCTTGGTCAAGAGTACAGGTGACTCATCACAGTTACAGGACATTTTGAGAGATGCTCCATTGTCCCCTGGAACTTAGTTGACCTAGAAGGGCAAGGAGCAAAAACTGTCCTTTATGTCCCTCTGACCAAATTAGTATAGGCCTCAAAGTATGGCTGTTAAACATCCAAGAAGGTTAGTTCCACCAGTCTGTCACTTTTAATTACCATGTGCCATGTAGATAAAGCTTGGGCAAAGACCAAATGTTCTCAGATAAACCTTGCCTAGACATATATTCTTTGATCTAACTGTATGTATAATTTGTCAGTAGGTTGTTGGACTAATATGGTTCCCTCTGGTTTTTTAAAAACTAGCTAGGCATTATTTATCTCTTGCATATTGGTGCCACTATTGCACCAGTGGGCATACCTTGTTAGGCCAGTTGTTGTAGCTTCCAGGATTCACCCCTGGGTAAGGTGAATGATTAATTTTCTCTTCAGGTAGCAAGCATGGCACTATGAAAGTTAACCAGTAGAGATGAAATTTTGAGGTCAGCACCAGCTTGATTTCTCCTTGTTTGTTCTACAGCTTATGCATGTAGTATCTTTAGCAGTAGGGTCTTACTGTGAAGTTGTTGTGGGTAACCAAGAGCAGGGGCAATGGCCAGTATTGTTTGAGTTTCAAAAGAGGGAGTCCATTCCTGGCATTGGGCTTTTACTTTTTTAGCCTATGGTATCAGAGAGGGGCAGTGTCCCCCTCTTATAAGATAGCACCTTTTAATTTCTTCTTATAATATGTATGTATATACTTGAAAGAAGTTTCTGTAATGGTAGGTTTCCATATGGCTTTTTCCAAAGGCCTCTAGTATTAGTTATCCCTCCCCATGTTCCCTCCTCTACCTTGGCCTCTCATTCCCCACCCATTTAACCTT